CCCTTCATTATAGCTGGAGATATGGTACAGTTAAAAATCACCCATCCCACACTTGCAAGAGTGTGACCCTATGCAAAAGAGAGAGAAATAAGTCCTTTAAAGCAAGGTCTTACATGGACCATCTGTGCTGTCCTGGCTGCAGCAGCTGGAACTACCCCCAGTCTGCCTGACCTCAGCTTGAGGGTGAGGCTGATGCTTAGAGCTTCCCTGCTGCCGAGCCACTGTGCTGCCTGGGGAAGCCCAGGCCCCTGCTTCACCAGGACATGGATAACAAGAGATGGGTCCAGGGGCTGGGGAAACCACAGATCCTGCTGCAAGTCTCCCGTTTCACTTCTGAAATCCCAGTGGCCATGGCCCTGGGCATCCTACTTCTCTGCCAGCAGTCCCCAGGCTGTGGGCTCAGTGGCAGCTGAAGGACCTCTTGGAGATGCTGCAGTGCCATCAAGGGCATGGCCCCACTTGCTTTTCCATGGGCAGGAGATGCCCATGGGCCAGGCCCAACCTCTTTTAGGTGGGTTCAACTGCTGTTTACATGAGGAGTTGCCTTGCTGGTCCAGCTGGGCTATCTGGTCTCCTGCTGCCATGCCATGCCATGCCATGCCATGCCATGCCATGCCCACTCTTGCAGTTCAGCAAGACGTAAGAGAGGATCTGCAGTCATGCGAAATCCCAGGGATGACAAAATCATATGGAAGACCTCCATCCCTCACGTTCTAGTGTCCTGGGCTGAAATTGTACTACTCCCAGATCCACATGCTGAGATGAGGCCATCAGGGTTGCCCTGTGGTGCAAGAAGAGGTCCCAGTCCCTGGGTGTGAACCAGAAGCCAACCCGTGGTCTGGGCTGCAGCCAGACCTCCGTCACGTTCCTTGCGTAACATTCCCCAGGGAACAGGTTTTCCTGGCTGGTGTCTGCTGGCTCCAGCGAGCAGAGGGTGCTCCAGGCCCATCCCTGACCTCCTGGAGCTGCCGCAAGGAGCAGGCTGGACAGGGTGACAGGAGGGACAATACCGAGATGCTCAGGCTGCCCACACAAGTGGCATGCATGGGAGGGGGCCAGGATGGTGCTCAGTGGCAATCAGCACGTCCAGGGAGGGGTCATGGTGAGCAGGGCAAGCCCAGCCCCAGGCCAGGTCTTGCAAGAGCCACCTGTGCTCCTGGCTGCCGTCCCTCCGAGTTTGGGGTTGTGGGTGAGGTGTTTATTCTCTGTCAATAGATAACCCTGGCAGGTTGGCAGGGAGAGGGGAGCACTTTGTCACGCAGCCTGCTGCCCTGCCAAGTGCACCTTGTTTGCTCAAGCGGTTTCATTTCTTTCCCGCTGCGGTTTGTGTTACCTAACCGGCCTGAGACAATGTTTAACCAGCTCCGGCAGCAGCAGGGAACCTGTCTGCCTCGCCTCCTGTGCCCCCAGTGTCCCCACTGCCCGCCACTGCTACCCCACTGCCATCGCCAAGCTGGGGGAATGCCGGCTGGGAGGCCTGGGGCAGAGGCAGGGGGTGGTCCGTAGACCCCTCAGCTGTACGGGCACCCTGTGCCAGAGGATGAGAAAGAAGCAGGGGTGTGCGGGCACAGGCTGCGGGACCCAATCCTGCAGCCTCCCGTGAAGTCTGCATGGGTCTGTGGGGCAAAGACCCAGGGAGGACTGGAGGAGAGCGAGCAAGGCCAGACACACACACGCACGCACGTGTGCACACACCAACACACACTCAGGGTAACTCCTAGAGTGACCTCCAAGCCTGTATTTAGCCAGTGCAGCAGAGCCTCCCAGCACACTGGCACGAAAACCAGATGATTTGTTTTTTTCATCTCCTTGGAGGTGCCTGGATTTTATGGCTGTGGCAAGCCATGGCAGAAAATGCAGAAAAAGAGGATTCTCCACCAAAACAACCTCCCCTCACACATTTACACTGGGGTCTGCTGGGAGATCTTTCCCACCAGATAGTCCCAGGTTGAAAATATTTCTAGCACACAGTTATCATGGAAATATCTTGGTCACCCTTCAAGTTTGAGTATTAAAGTGGGTTTTCTGTCCCCCAAGACTCCCCAAAGAGACAGAGGGGTTGATTCCTGGTCCCAGTTAGGGAAGAGGAGGGCAGTTTACCATGGCCAGCGCTTGCCTGGGACCCATGGACCCAAAGCAGGCTGCTGTGGCTGAAATGTGTCAAACGGGAGCAGAGAAATGGGTGAGGGGAGAGGTTTCAGCTGGGCCAGCAAGGTGTCCAATATCTCCATGAATTGCCCCTGAGCACAACAGCATGACTTGATTTTCCAGCTGAGCCGGACTGTGGCCATCCTTGCAGCGGATCAGGGTAGATGGGAATGTGGTGGGGACAGGGGCAGCCTGCGGGAGACAGAAACCATCTCCCTGAGATCCCCCACTCTCCCTCCTGCCTCTTCTTTAAGCTCTCTGCAGTCCCCACTGGCTTTCACCCTTTCTTACCCTCCTGCCTCTGGCTCAGGACAATGGGGGAGCAGGGCTGAACCCCATACTGGGAGCAACTGGGGGTGTGGAGACACATGCAAGGGAGCTCCCAGTAGCATAAGGATGGGTACCTGATCAAGGTGGGAATCAGCCCTTCAAGTTTCTGGGAATAAGCTTACAGAAAGAAAGGTAAGTGTGTAAATTGTTAGGCCTGGTCCTCCTAAAAACATCCAGGGGAAAAAAGCCTTGGAAGCCTGTGGAAGATGTTTATTGCAGCTGGACTTCTGCAGCTATGACAAGAAACCTTCTCCCC